CAGTATCATGTAGATACACTCATATCTTTATAAATTACTCATTTTTCAAACAGAAAAATTGTCACCTTAAATTCCATGTCTGTTTTTTTGAATCTAGAAAATGATGTGAAAAGATGCTCAAAGTGACAGAAATTTCACTAGTAAAGAGTAAACTCAAACCATCATAGTTCTAAGAAACTATCTAGGGATTGTGTATCTGGGAGTTGTTGCTGAAGGTGCTTCTTTTGTACTGCCAGGTCCTGCAACCACCTTAGCTCCAAATAAACACACAAACACTGTATTAATTATTAATCTATTGGCTAGTATCTTGGGCTTCTTATTGGCCAGCTCTGTCTTGAATATTAACCCATTTGTATTAATCTATATATTTCCACATGGTCTTATCTTACTGGAGAACACTTGGTGTGTCCTTTCTTCCCAGTCCTTACATGGTAACCCTCTTTGGCAGGCTATCTCTGCCTACCTTTCCCAGAGATAGGTCCTAGTCCCACCTATCTTCATGCTTCATTGGCCAGAGAGTGTTTTATTCATAAACCAGTAAGAGAAATGTATATACAGAAGGATATCCCCCATCATGTGGTTTCAGGCCTTTACATATCAAAAATTCTCAAAAACTGTTGAATTTTTAAAAAAATCTTGCAATATGCCCTGGATTAGTCAAAATTGTTAGAAAGCTCATTAGTGTTCAACATTCTCCTGCTTAAGTTTTTAAATTTAAAATTAAATTGAAATTTTTCATTTATAATTGTATGTTATATGATGAATAGGAAGTATCTCTCAATGAGAAATTATTGTTTGAGATCATTAGTTCCTTTGATGTACTGACAATTTGTGCTTGTACGTTTCTCCCTTAGCTTTAAACACTGTCAGAGATGAGTCAGGTGAGATAGCTGGGGTAGTAAAGTGCATGCTGCCAAGTCTGATGATCTGAATTCAATTCTCTAGGCTAACATATGTCAGGGACAAGAAGGCTAATGAAAGGGGAGGATCAGCTCCTGTCAAGGCGTGTGTGCACATACCCCGACCGGAAATAATACATTAAAAAGTGACTGGTTTAAAAAATATCAAATATGTATTTAAAGGAATGGTACTTCAAATCCAAATAATTAAAATGTGTATATAGATTAAGACAATGAATCCAGAGCACCTAGTTTGGGGGGTGTAGCAGACAACAGTATTCTAAGGAGTTGTTTCAGTGAACGAAGGAAGCATATGCATGTAAAGGAAGACAGAAGCTTCATCCTTACAGCACAAAGGGCTAATGGGAACTGGTGAGAAAGGAAGACTTAGACCATGGCCAAAGCATTCCAGGAGAGTTTGCAGAGTAAGAGTACAGAAAATGTATTACATATGAGAAGAAACAGAACTATTTTGTAAGTTCTCTGAGCCGTCTTACCATTCTTTATTCTTATATTACTTGTGCAGGATCTTATAAGAAGTCTTCATTTAAAAATATTGTTTTAGTCAGTGTTCTATAGCTGTGAAGATACTTTATGACTAAGGCACCTCTTCTAAAAGAGAGCATGTTTGGAGGCTTGCTTAGCTTCAGAGGATTAGTCCATTATCATCATGGCTGGGAGCATGGTGGCAGCCAGGTGGGATACTGAAGAAGTAGCTGAAAACTACACCCTTATCACTCTTATCTTCGGGGGTGGTGTGGGGGGAACTGGTCTGGGCTTTATGAACCACAAAGCCCACCCTAAGAGACACATCTCCTACAAGACCACAACAATAATCATTCCTAAACAGTTAACTAACAATGGACTAGACATTCAAATTTATGATCTTATGGGAGCAATTTTCATTTAAAACAACACAACAATTTGCCATTTAAAAATATATGAAACAAGCAAACAAACAAAAATATGTTAGCCATCTTTCAGCTTACAGCAAACAGTGTAATGCATTGAGATGCATTAACATGTGTATTATAATGTAATATTAAAATCAGGATAAACTTCTTAATATCAAACAAACATTTATGTTATCAAAGTGAAACATTTATATTTATTCTAGCTTTTTAAAGTTACATGAATCGATATATTACACTGCATTATTATTCATAGTCATCGCATCCTTAGCTCCCCAGCTTAGTGCCTATTTAAACAAGGTCTCCCCATTTTCTTTTTTCCCCTACACTCCATAACTACTTGTCATCACTGATTTACCACCATCTTCCGTAAGATTAATATTCTGAATCCCTAGATTAGTAAAAAGTATTATTTTTGCCTTTCTATGCCTGACTCATTTCACTTACAACAATGATCTCGTGTTTAAATATTGAAAATCATAGATTTAATATTTTATGGCTTGTTTACCATTTTATTTATCAGCTCAGTTGATAATTGCTATTTTTTCTTTCCCATTTGGTGAATACGTGAATAGCCTTCCAGTGAACATGGAGGGTTTCAACAGACTGATAGTATTTTTGCAGGAGTATGATTGTTGGATGATGTGGTGGCTGTGTTTTGAATTTTTTGTCTTCTATAATGAATATACTAATTGCCATCCCTGTATGAGGACTATCTTTCTCTTTTTTGTTTCCTGCTCTTTCTTTCCTCAGTCTCTTTGATGACAGACATACTTGCCACAGTGAGATAATATCTCATCATTGTGATATGCAATTTTCTGATGACCAGTGATAATGAATGCTTTTTTAAATTCTGTGTTTCTATGACTTTTGGTAAATGTGTTTTTAAGACTATTGTCAATTTTTAAATTGGGTCATTAGTTTCTTTGAGTTTTTTGAAGTTCCTTGCATATTCTTAATATCAGCTTCTCACCTAATATGTGTTTTGCAGATATTTTATTGGACTCCTCCATATGATTTTCCTTTGCTCTGCAGAGGGCTTTAAGTGGAGTGCCATCTTATTTGCTTATTGTCTGCACCTTTGTGGTCTTGTTTAGGAAATACTTGTTCTTTCCAATGTGTTGACACATATTTTTTTAACCTTTCTCTCAGTGCATTTGTGCTTTTCTGGTTTTATTCTTATGTTTGTGATCAGTTTTAAGCTGTCTATTATAACATGGAGATGGGAGTCTAGTTTCCTTGTTTTGTGCATGATATCCAATTTCTCACTACTGCTTATTAGACAAACTGTGCTTTCCCTAATTTGTCCTTTTGCTGTTGGAAATCAGTTGGCTGTTAACGAAAGGATTTGTTTACTTCTAGGCACTCCGTGTTTCCTTTTAAGCCAACACCATGCTGTTTGATTGCTACAGCTTTGTGGTATATTTGAAGTCCCATAGCAAGGCACCACTGGCTTTGTTCCTTTAACTATCTGGTTTTATTCTTTTTATTATCTTTTTATTTTGTATATGTGTATGTGTGGCTCCATACAAACTTTAATGATTGGTGTTATAATTGTATGTGTAATATCATCACTCAAATTTGATTATGCTCCCAGTTTATAACTTATCACAGACATGTCCAACATTTTATATTATGAAAATAGGTAATCTATAATGCTCACACTCGAAGAGTTTTAATGTGTTTATCTGCAAAGTTTTTGCTGGAGAATGAAATAAATACACATGAAATCTCATAATAATTAAGTACATTTATGACTTTGTGTAGGGTTCCATTCATAAATGTCGTCAGCTTCACATGGTCCAAGGATTCCTGGTAGTGCATACCTACCTCTTAGCTGGCACTGAGAGATGAAACTTCAGTTATAAGGTTAGTTGTGAAGCAGTGACCACCTCCTACTAACCCTGTCCAATTGAGAAGCCAGATGATTTGTGCTCATCTCAGTGTCCTGTAACATGCATTTACTTAATAGGCACATGAATATAACAATATGCTTATTATTGTAGCTTAATTATTTTATTGAAATTATATTGGAAGAGAAATTTATCTATTCTAAGTTCTAGGAACTCAGAAAAGTGAAATTCATAGAAATACCTAGTTTGTTGGCTCTTTCTAGGTTTTCCCTTTTTAGTTAGCATCGTCTTGATAACTTTATCTTGTTCTTTCCTCTCTGTCAGAAACTATGTGTTAAGTCAAGTAAAATCATCTACTAGTGGCCCAGGTAGAGACGAATCCCATCCTGATCTTTTTGGTATGCTCTAGGAAGATAAATGAGGCCTCAGCTTATTACACTTGTCCTAAATGTCACAAATTACACTGGTCTTTGAAACTAGCATTACTCTGAAGAAGCTTGCTGCTCATAGGATTTGTAACTACAATGTGCCTGGTCTTTCTGAAATAATATGTACTTTAAAGGGCTTAATGCAATTTTCATTAGTTGGTGGTTTGTTTCTTTTTGAATAACTCTCTTCAATAAAAAGCACACTTAGTAGCATCAAAGTCACTTAAATAGAAATACTTTTGACTTCAAAGTTAATATGCCCTTTTAATACAAATCCTTCAAAACAAATTAATTAATAAAGCCTGATTAAATCACTTTCTTCAATTCAGGTTGACATTGCAGAAAGCAGAAGCCATCTGTGACTGTGTTTTGTGAGGTGTAAAAACAGTGCTTTTCTCAGTACATGACTTTCAATTAGAACTGAAATGCAATTACAAAGTGAGTTGGTGAAAAATTCTGGATAATTCCAGCAGAATTATCTTCTAACTCAGTAATCTTTATGTTTAGACAAAGGTGCATTTAAGAATTTTTTTAAAAGTTAAAAGTTATGTGTGATTTGGTTAGTCACCTTAAATCTCTACCTAAGTTTACTCTTAAGCATACTGTAGTTCTGAGTTGCTTTGATGTGAGTTTTATCAGTATTTTGTATAAACTGCATTTAGAGGTTATTCTGGAGTTTGAATGCTATATTCTTGTCTCTTATGAGTATCCTTGACAACATTTTAAAATAATCACATGTATATGAAAAAATTTTCTGTTCACCAGCCTTTGTATTTTGTGGCTCTATAGCGTGTATTTTGCAATAATTTTGTTTATAATAGGAATGTATATAGTGCCTGTTTGTAGACCTTCCTCATTTTCTCTGTGACATTGTCAAATTTCTTACATTTGGATTTTTATCCTTCACAGATGCATTTTGTAGGAGTACTTTGAAGATGAATGTTTTCAAATCATTTTGAAATAGCCAAGCACCATACACTGTAAGTGATCTGTAATTTTGTTTTTCACAGTCATGCTGAATGTTTTTGACAGACAATCACAAAAGAACACATTCATTTTTACAGTTTTTGACACTCACAATTACAGAAAGAAAATGTGTATAAAGCTAGGAAATGAGGTGTTTGTAAGTTCTATTTAAGTTGTGTATTTTCCAGTTTTGTAATTACTGATTTTACTGTTGGTATAGCTATTCTCATAGAACATTCTTATTTATTCCCTCAGTGAGAGTTTAGTCACATCTTAACTGACAAAAATAATGAAGGTTTAGTGATATTAGCCAGCTGCTGATGAGAAGTTTTTTAAAAGTACATCAGATTGATATATATATATATATATATATATATATATATTGAGTTTTTTCACATTAGGTGCTTTATATGTAAACAATACATTTATTTCTTCCCTAACATTTTACGTTCTTATTATTACTCTATGTTTAAATGAGAAAACTGGGAGCCTCAGAGCTTTCATGATTTGCTCAATATTTCTTCAAAGTGGGAAGTCTAGGTTTCATTATGTTCTTATTGCTTCTTTGGAATTTTGGTTTTGTGCAAACATTATCATCTGAGTGTTGAAAAGGACTTTTACAATTGTTTGTTGTTCACATTGTTGATTTTTTAACATGTCATTGGATTCTTTTATTTAAGTGATACCTCATTCCCTAATTAGACAGTTTTCCATTATTAGGAAGTAAATAAAGTGTAAATTCATGAAAGGATGTTGAATTTTTATTTGATAAAATAAAAATCAGATTGCTGAAGTTCTTATGTCTTCATTCATTAAAACAAACAATCAAACTCCTCAAAAATCATGTTGGGGATATAGGCCAGATGTAGAGCTCTTGCTTAATATGAGTAAGGTTCAATAAACAAAATAAATATTACAAACCACTCACCACAATTTAATGTTGTTTTGTATGGCAGAGATTGCAAGGACAATTGCACCTAACTGCCTTGTTAGGTTAATGAAACTTACTCGGGGGACAGCTTTTGTATAGGCTTCACAATTAAAATAATATGAATACAATGGTGACAGCACTGATATTTATGCATTTTCTCCTAATATAGCCCTGTCGATAATGAATAGGTACTTAAAAATGCAGACTGTGGATTCCAAACACCTGGCAATCCTGAACTTCTCACTTACTAGCAGTTAGACAATGAACAAATTCCATAATGTCATTTTAGAATGGGCATAAGAGTACTAATTGGGGCCGGGCGGTGGTGGCGCACGCCTTTAATCCCAGCACTCGGGAGGCAGAGGCAGGGGGATCTCTGTGAGTTCGAGGCCGGGCTGGACCGATAGCCTCCGAAACAATACAGAGAAACCCTGTCTCGTAACCCCCCCCAAAAAAAGAGTACTAATAGGGGTCTGTGTTTGGTATGGACAAGATCTATGAAGGCCAAGTGGACATGATTGGAGATGAATACAATGTGGAGAGCATTGATGGTCAACCTGGAGCCTTCACTTGCTATTTTGATGCAGGTCTTTCCTGAATTACAACTGACAATAAAGATTTTGGGGGCCTTGAAGGGCGCTGTGGATGGAGGCTTGTCTATTCTTCATAATAACAAACGATCCCCTGGTTATGATTCTGAAAGCAAGGGGTTCAATGCAGAAGTGCATTGGAAGCAGACTACATGTGTTACCTAATGGAGGAAGATGAAGATGCCAATAAGAAACAGTTCTCCCAGTACATAAAGAACAATGTCACCCCAGACATGATAGAGGAGATGTATAAGGAAGCTCATGCTGGTATGCGAGAGAACCAGTCTACAAGAAGAAGCCCAAGAGAGGGGTGAAGAGGTGGGACCGTCCCACAATGTCTGTGGCCCAGAAGAAAGATCAGGTTGCTCAAAAGAAGGCAAGCTTCCTCAGAGCTCAAGAACGGGCTGCTGAGAGCTAAAGCAATTTTCTATGAAGATTTTTTTTCAAAAAGATAGTAAACTTATTGACCAAGCCAAAAAAGAAAAGAGTAATAACTGTCTCGTCTCATTCATGTTGAACTAATATATACTGTAGATACTTATAGGTTGAATAAGTGTTAGTAGTTATTCCTTTGTAATTCAATTACTTTGAACATTCAAGTATTTTTGTTAATTAGACATCATAATTGATAATTGTGTCATATAAGTGTATGATATGGGTATTCAATGACCACTTTTCATTGAAATGATAAAAATAAACCAAATTTCAGTGATTTTTATAAGCAGCAAAATGTTCATTATACCTTTTGTTAGAAAATAAAACAGATAATCAATCTGCATGTACTCTGAATATATATATATAAATAAATGTTTGTGTGTGTGTGTGTGTGTGTGTGTGTGTGTGTGTATGTTTAAACTTGTGTGGTTACTGAAGACCCAAGTTGAAAATTTGTTCATGAGCTTTTTTGGTGACTAAAAAATGACAATTTGGATGTACCAATGGAGCTATAATTCTTATCTTAAGGAAGACAGAGAATTCATAATAAAAAGAAATAGTTGAAATTTCAGACCATCAATATTTTGGGGGAATAGTCATCTAGTGGGGTTAGTAACAAATTTATGGAAATAGCAGGGTTATGGGAAAGAGAACATTCATTGAGTCTACTGTGTATATTTCACATTCAACAATAAAGTTAATCTGAATAACATCATGATTCTGATCTGCTATATTTATTTTCATACTAGGAAAATGTACAATGGAATGTTTGGCTCTTTCTTTGTGGGAATTAAGCTCCAGATTTCCATACTTCTAATGCTGTTAGCCTAAATGTTAAATGCTCAGATTTTCTGATTGATCTTAAGTTATTTTCTTTGTATGAAAAAACACCATTCCAAAACCTCAAAATATAAAATATGTCTTTAGTAATGCACATCATATGACTTCATTTCAACTAAAAGAAATAGCAGTTGCCAAATATTAAATGCTGATAGGGCTATGTAGCAATCTCATGTTAATCCCCTTGAAAAATAGATTCTTTCATTAAAGAAAACTTTGCACATAAAAAGCTCATTTTCTAAGGCCAGAGGCCAAACCTCACATTTCTAGACCACTATTAAAAGCTGAAATGACTGACCACACCTTTTGCTTGCAGTCCATTTTCCTCTTCATGTCACACAGAGAATTCTAGAATAAGGCTTTTCATTTGACTCATCTTCCTCACTTTTCATCACCTTCAGTTGTGTGATGTTCTCAGTGCCATCTTAAGACTGAATGACCATACTGACACTTCCTCTTTGGCAGATCAAATTTAGCTGTTATTGGTTCCAATTATTTTACACTTCAGTTCTTGAAACAAAAATCAGCAGTGCTTACTGGGTTTACTATAAAATGCGTTAGTGTGGAAAAGATTAGAGTCTACTTTCCTTTTATTTTTAAATGTTCCTTTGCCTAAACGTACCAACATTTAAACATTTAAATTATCATTTTATTATGTTTTTGTTTATGGGTGTTTTGGTTGTGCCCTATGCATGCCTTCTGCCTGTCTAATTAGGAACTGAGTAGCAGATTTCCTAGAATTGAAGTTACAGATGGTTGTGGGCTGCCATTTGGGGCCTGGGAATTGAACTAGGTCCTCTGGAGGACACCTCATGCTCTTAAAAGCTGACTCATCTCTCCAGGTCCTTGGGCAGAGGATCTACTCTCTCTGTGCTGTCGGTTTGAGATTGAAAGACTTATGGAGTCTTCTACTATATTTTCCTGATTTGGTCTCTGGAAAGAAAATCTATGGATTTTGCTTAGTGACTATTTTATTTAATTCACTTAATAATTATGAGATATTCTTAAGCGATTCAGTAAACAGTGGTACAAGTAGGAGGGAGAAAGGAGAATCATTCTCAAGTAAATTTGATTGTCAGATTGTAGAAGCAGTTCATGCTCAATACTGGTTATACCAAGACAATTGTATAAACCAATCAAATTAAAAATCCATGTTAAAATTGAAATGCACAAATAGACTTTGAGTTCCCATGCCACAATATGGGAGGCTCTCTCAGCCAGGATTCTTGAAGGAGGGCCTATGCCTAGCCTGGATGAAATGATAGTTAATGGAGATCCACCATCAAGTGCCCCATCCTCCTTGGGGATCAGAGTGGAGATTGGGTTGGGAACTGGGTTCCTGGTGGGGAAGGTGGGGGAGGAGGGAGGGAGAGGGAGCTGGGATTGACATGTGAAACAAGATTGTTTCTAACCTAAATAAAAAAATAATTTAAAAAATCCATGTTAAGTAATGAAGAAATTCTGAAGTTTTAAGTATGAAAAATAAAGCAAGAAGAGGTCTGAAGAAGCAGATATAATGCTGAATTTTTGTTATTTGCATTTGATCTATATGTGGAAAATGGTATCAGGATAGTCAAAGGAATGGCCTAGAAAATGTCACAAGTGAAGTGGTCATTGCCATGGTCAAGTCAGGACAAGTTAGGTAATTAACAGAGTGAGTTTGTCAAGTAAAGCAAAGCATAGGTACATTTGGAACCCAGGCTTGAGTCACACTTAGAAACTACTGGTACTCATACGAGACATTAAAACTGAAGTGATAGTCAATTAAGAGGAGAGGGGGGAGAATATTTTCTGAGTGTTAATCTGGTGAACACAATTTTCTCTAACTTTAAATTAAATACTGACATTTAATTCAGAATGGATTGCTATGGAAAGACTGATAGGCAAGGGAATCAATTATCAGTTACTACAACCTTATAAGAATTAAAAGATGATGGCAGGGTTTGTGGTCATTCCAATGGGAATGGAGAGGGATGAGTACTAGCTGAGATGCAGAAGGAAATAGATTTGGAGATGAGTTGGGATTTACTGAGTACCATGGCTTATGTTAATTACTGCCTCCCTCTCTTTCTATTCTGCACAAAGATACTGAGACAAGTATTAGTTAAACAACTTGTCTGGGTTCTCAAGTATGAAAATAGCACAGTCAACTTCAGAGCCCCTTGAGTGAAGAGCCTGAGCCTGTAGTTGGCTTTACTGCTAGTGTTCTAGAAATAAT